AATAGCTTTTATAAGAGTATATAAATAATACTAAACTAACACTGGAACTATCATATTATATCAACAGACCGCTTATAGCTCTTTGGAACCACTAGATGGTGATATAACACCATGTGCAACCCATGCCTCGGTAAGCGCCTTTTATTTTACAAACTGCAGTGGCCTTGCTGCAGACCAAATCATGAATCCCTGACATGTTTACAGGTCATTTCAAAAATAAGTTCGCACTCAAACAAAGCATACATTACCTTTCAAAAGTTTTAAGTCGGTAAGATTTAGAAAAAAAGACAAATCAGAAGTCATTTTTGCTCACCAAGTCTGCATTTATTTGATCAAAGTAAAAACTGTAATATTATGAAATATTACAATTTCAAAATACTGTTTTCTATTTTAAAATATAATTTATTCCCGTCTCCAGCGTCACATGATCCTTCAGAGATCATTCTAAAATACTGGTTCTCAAGAAACATTTCTTATTATTTGTTACAATCGGTTGTGCTGCGTTATATTTTTGTGGAATCCATACTACATTTCTTAGGATTCTTTGATTAATAGATCAAAAGATCACAAGAACAGCATTTAATTGAAATAAAAATCATTTGTAACATTAAAATATCTTTATTTTCACTTTTGATCAATTTGATGTGCTTTTTGAATAAATGTAATCATTTATTTCTATTATTTCTATTACTATTTAAAAAAAAAAAAAAAAAAACAGACTCTAAACTTTCGAACAGTAGTGTATAGCTGGGCTTTAGCAAGTTTCATTTGATAAGAGATAAAAAAAATAAATACAGAAATAATTTTTAAATGTTCCAATAATGATATTTATTCAATACTATTTCAATTTTAAAAAATACCAGAAATCATCTTATAATAATAAAATGCATTGATTACAACAATATTTGTCAAACAGAATATTATGCAACAGGAATGTTATGAAGACTGAAACAAGTAAACCCACAAAGTTATTACGTCCAGGGAAAGAAATTACAGTGCAGAGCCAGACCTAAAAACCAATATGATATGAAATACCCCAGTATGCATCGTGTATAAATGGAGCAAGTCTGCCAGTGCATCAAGAGGTAAACAACTTCATTATTTCTCCACATGCCCATAAAACCAAAGCCAGGTTTGTGATCCTTTTGCTGTTGTATTTGGTCTGATCTGAACAGCTTTTCATCTTGCAGCAGAGGTTCATACTGAAAAAGCAGGTGGGCACTTATCCAGTAGAGAACAGGCGAGGAGGAAGCAAGAAAGCGTGTCAACACCTGAGAGGACATAATATAAAAAAGGCATGTTGAGCATATACACTACATATATCACATGATAATAATCAATTATAATAGTCTTACCTGCACATGCATGCAGAATATTCCAAACAGAAGCAGGACAGAACTGTGCACGATGTAAACAAACACTCTTGGGTTACAGAGACCATTCATTTTTCTGTCTTTTCCTCTGTCTCCCAACCCCAAATACATACAAAGCACTGGGTTGGCCATTACGTACATATATGAGGCTATGAATCCCAGAGTTGCAACAGGCAGCGCTAAGATAAAGTTGGGTATCTGCTTCCACTGAAAGTATCGCAGGAAGCCCACATCCCAATAGACATCCTGTATGTACGAGTACAAAACTGGAATTTGCCACTGGCACCATCTTGGTGTTGGAGATGCTGCATCAGCCACACGGTATCCTTTGTCCCGGGCCAGATTAAGCAGCACAGGAGGAACTTGAGTAGCAGTCGGATGACAAAATGTTTGGTAGCCATAAACCTGAAACAAACAAAAAGGTAGTGCCACGAGAGCTGCATAAAATGCTCCTGTGAGAACAAAACGAATAAGTTCCCAGACATAGTGATGATACTGAAAGCCCTCTGCTCCTCTGCTAAGAGCCCGTACACAGGCAAGACCCAATTGCAAACTGAGGTACAGCAAAAATCCAGCATTCACAAGTCCATTGGCACGAGCACCAGTAGCAAACCCAAGCAGAAGGCAAGCTCCAATTGTGAATCTTGTCTCTAGTAGCCAGAGACCTGCAAAGGTAAGTGCTGCAAAGAGAGTCTCTGAATAGCCTGCAATCATAAAAACATTAGCTGGTGTCAGACAGTACATTAAGACTGCAACAAGGGCAAGTTTTCGGTCTTGCAGCACCAAATGACTCAGTCTGTATAGTGCCACAGCACTTAGGACAAAGAGAATGCTATTCCCTATAGCCACAGCTAAAAGTAAACGGCCATGCAATGTGAGAAATCCACACAAGGGCCACAGGACAGTGGTGGCCAGGAATCGCAGGATGAGAGGAAACAATGGAAAGAATGCAAAGTTATGTTCATACAAGTAGCCACGTTCTGCAATGAAGAGGAAATGCTCTGCATCCCAGCGACTAAGGCCACCAAATAATGTTTCGATGACGGGGTCCAGCAGGAGAGGGGTCTCTGATCGTGGAGGGCTGAAGGCATCTGCCACATGGTCTGGAATCACTGCATTCAGCACAGCCTTCAAAAGTGCACAAAACAGACAGTAATTTGTCATGTGCATTGTTTACAGTTTGTGCGGTAGGTGTCACTCTGATCTCAAATTTGCAACTACGGCCAGTACTGATTTTATGGAGTTCTACGTCTATGGCAAGTATTTTAGGCAGACGTCAAAATACAAAGTACAAATACATCATTTTAGGCTATTTTAGTCGTTTGTGTATTTCAATTGCTTACCTGTAAAACAAGGGAAAGCAGTCGCGTGAACGTCGCAAACCGTACAACTGTCCACACGTCTTCGTTTATACAAGTGTTTGAAGGCGACATATTTAACAGAAACTTTCATGAACGAAAATAACAATAGACAATTTCCCTTGAAGAAAACAGTAATCATATTAATCTCAGTAAATTAGCAGATACGATAGGGGAGGCATCATTAAAACAAAAAGAAGCAAAAGGGCAATATGCTTTCTTGAGGTTTGTAACAACTGCAAAGACCCGCGTCCGCACACGAATAATAAAACAATGTAAATTATATTCACGTTTTTCCAATTCATTTCATAAAGCCACTGAATGGAACAACAGCGCTAACAACATGCACTTCCGGCATGCAGTTTTACAAATGTCAAAATAAAAGCCCCAATATCTTGACCGGTATTACGAAATCTAAACCTACTTGTACAATACATTATATTCTATTACTTCTATATACCTATATGGCCTGGACAGTCAACACCATTTAAAACAGTTAGGTTCAGTTATTATTTCGAATTTATAAATGCAGAAAATAATTCTATTTTGCTTCAGCTTCGTTGTGTCAGGAGACAAATATATTTTAATCAATCTTTTCATTGCCTTTTCAACTGATAAACATTTTTAGCAGACAAATATAATTGAGCACTAGTGTAAGAGTAATATTAAATCTTACAAACTGAGTTAATTTTTAACATGCAAATTAAAAAAAAAAAGTTTTTTTTAATGTAAACATTCTGATTGAACCTTCCATTCATAATTACAGAATTCTAGGAAGAGAATTCTAGGATTTTTTTTTTTTTTTAAATCATCTAAATGAAAATAACCACAAACATCTTACCAAGATTTAATGTACATTTATTCTTACCACGTGGAACATATAGTATAAAGATTTCATAGTGAATAAATGAAATTCATTGAGCCAAAAAGGGGAAAAAAACAAGGAATTTACATTAAGCTACATAGTCTGAAATACAAATATGCAGAATTCATATCACTGGAGAAAAAAAATATCTCAACTGTGTTTCTTCATCTAGAGTTATTTTGTTGTACCAGGAGATGAAATAAAAATATTTCAGTTGTTTGCTGCACTATGGAGGAACCGTGGAGGCCAAAAGATGGTTCAGTTTATATACCTAGGCATTTTGATGCAATTAACCCAACTTGAGTGTCCGCTCTTATTCTTGATAGATAAAAAGGGATAAGAAGCAAGAGGGAGAGAAAGAGAAAAGGAGGTGAAAATGTACATCTTATATACAGTACAGCCTCTGCTGCATCTTAAGTTGAAACCCAGTCCTAGGAGTTGATTTCTTTATAGGGGTCAATTCATACAATCATGGGTTAAAGAGAAGAGGTCAGGGTGTTGTACGTCCTTGATACTTTGGGGGGGTATTCTCCTTACCAGCAAACTAACAGTTTAAAAACAAAGCTGACTGAGCCAACATTTATCCCATGTGGAACAGTGCAGTACGTTTGCAGTATGTTTACAGTTGTGGAGTACTGTACAGAAAATGACAACTCATTTCTGCTGTACACGCATCCAGAAAGGTTGACCGTGTAGCATCAAAATACAACCACCAAACAATGAAGAGTCCACCTGTCAATGTGAACAAGAGCTGTGTATTATTTGCACCCTCTTGGGGAGGACAAAGAAACAATTAACCCCAAAACTCACTGTAAACAAGACAGCAACTTTGGTAAATAGTTTGTTTTTTTCAAGCTATTTATTTTATTCATTTATTTCTTTTATTATAAAAAGTACTTTCCCCTAAGACAAGGACACAAAAGTTGGGGTCCCTGTCCATGTCATCTAGTTGGCATCAGTGTTACAGTTTGTGTCAGTGTGTTGAGGCTCTGGTTCATGATCCACAGCAAATTCGTGACAACCTTCCCAAAGTGAGACGCAGAGAAAAGGGGGACCAGTGGGTGTAATATGAAAGGGCTTGCATAAATAAAAAAACAAAACAAAAAACAAGAAACAGTCAATATTCTCTGCTTTCAATCCCCACTCGCCAATGGGGAGGACAGGCAAAGGGGAAGTACGAAAACCAGAGAAGGTGGAGCCACAGCTCCGCACAGCTGTCATGACTGGCCTATCAAAAAGAGTACATCACAGATGACATGGGACACCAATGAGTTCATGAGCGGGGAGACAGAAAGGTCCAGTAGCCGCGATTCATACAGCGTAAACTCAGAGTGGTTCTCCTCCACCTTTGCGAGAGCGAGCAGAGCCCGAGCAGCCCGCCGCATCATGTCCACACTTGTTGGCTCAAAGTGTGACCCCTGCATGTGCAGTAGATAGATTCCCTACACTGGCCTTCTGTACCGCAATGGCACGGGCCGTCAGGCTGTCACCCTGTGCGAGATTGGCCAGCAGCACGACTGCCATCTCCCGACAAACAGGCACCTTTCGCTCTCCAACTAGATGCACGAGGTTACCAAACAGCTTCTCTAATCTACTAAAAGGTGGCGTCGCCAGAATGAGGTCCACATTGTTGTCCTGAATGCTGAGCTTACAGAGGGTCTCCAGGACTAGTCTCTGGGGGGACAAGGCGCCGTTGAGCCCAAGACTAGGGAAGGGGTCTTGGGCTTCCGCTGAAGGACAAACGGCCCAATGGAGCAAGCCATCCAGCAGAGGCAGGCAGATGCTCTCAGTGTAGACAGAGAAGTCAAGCTGGCCTGAAATGTTGGCAAGAGTGACCAAGCAATTTTCCCGCAGTACCTCCAAACAGTCCCACCACCACTCGTCTTTCTTGCTACCATGACTCTCATCCACCTCCTCTTCTTTCTCGTAGGTTAAAGGCGCCTGCTTGCGCTCTGGATGACGATGGTGGAGAAGCAACAGGCGGCCAAGCAGTAGCAACAGCCCTGGATGCTTTGACATCTCCGAGTCATTGCCCGGGACAAACGAGAGGCTGCGGACAATGTTGGAGACACAGATGCAGCGACGGGCAAGGGAGTCTTGCCAGTCTAAGAGCGTGACAAGAGGAGCTTCATCCTTGCTGTGTGGCTCATCTTCTAAAACGGCGATGGAGCGCTGACCCTGTAATGACGGGCTTGGAGGTGCTGGCCTGATGTTTTCTGAAGTTGTCGTCTCTGTTACTTGTTTGTCTTCATCTTTCTCTATGTGTGAATTCCCCTCAGAGGCAGTTTCTAAGCAGTCAGCAGGTCTGTCGGATTCATGCGTGGTTCAGATGGCATCATGTCTTCAGATCGATTCATTGCATGGTAGCCAGGGCCCTGTCCGGGACCAGTAGGAGGTCCCTGACGATTGGGGTAACTGGGGTAGCCCATATCACCTCGGCCCTGCCACATGCCACCTTGAGGACCGTCAGGACCAGACTGCATTGGACTGGCCATCATTTGAGGAGGCATAGAACCCTGGGAGTTTGGGCCCGTGCCTGCTTGCATACGATCTCTTCCAAAGGGGAAAGGGAACTGATTCTGGGGACCAGGTGGACGACGGTCCGAGCCAGGGTAGGAACTGTTATACTGGTTATACATTTCCTGACCACTTGAGGGACCACTAGGGGGAGCCTGCGGCGGTGGCTGCTGAGCATTGAATGGCCCACTGAACATCTCACCGTCGTGATGCCGTTTAGCTGGTGGGTAACCACCATCACCTGGTCTTTTGTAGTTCTAAAGGCAACAGATTACATTTAAAATATGTGACAAGGCTTTCGGTAACATTTAGTCATTATACCAATGTCAAATAGAAAAAAAAACATCACATCGTTTTATTAACCGCTTTCTTACCGATTGTTGTTGTGGGTACATTCCAGGCTGCTGATTCGGATAGGAGCCACCAGGAGGTGCACCCTGACCAGGATACTGATTACTATAGGACTCATGCCTGCACAGAGAACCATATGCAAGAGAAATGAGAACTAGATATAGCAGATATACAAATACAATCTCCATAAAAACGAACCAACTAGTGGACTGACCGCTGTTGCTGTGGAGGGTAACGATTTGGTGAGTACATCCCAGATTCGGCATTGGAAGTCATCATATTTGGCTGTGGCACTCCAGGACCCATGCTGCCATCTGGGCCCATCCCTGACTCTGGTCTACGCAACACAGGAGAGGTTAGAGTTCATTGCATCATTTACGTAACACAAATGAAAGTAAAGGAATTAGTTTCTTCCCAAAGTAAAGTTTCAGTGTACCTCCTGTCATAGCCGGGGCCATATGGATACTGGTGCCGCTGGCCCATGGGCATGTTTCCCATAGGGCCTGGTGGTCCCCTGTTGTACTGATCACCGAGACTGCTGTTGGGACCCTGCCCACCAGGCATGAACTGTTCTGCAGCTAGTACCACAAGCACACAGCTCATTACACCAGGTAGCTTATCATGAACTATAATGGATTATGATTACATGACTACAATACAAACCTTTACGCATACCACTGAAGTGGTCTTTATTGGGTTCATAGGGTCCCATGCGACCAGGCATCTCCGGGGTGCTCATGCCTGACTGGTAGCCAGAGTTGGGCGTCATAGTGTTTCTCCGAGAGAAGTCGCCATCAGCAAATGGATCTTGCAGGTTCACACTGCTCCTAAGAAACAGGGCAGGTAAGGAGTGGTTCACACTCAAAAAACGCATACAGTACTGCAAGACAAGTGAGCGAATCTCACCTGCCACTTGGCACTGGGGGCATCTGGCTGTGTGGGGTGGAGACAGGAGTAGGGGGCTTCAAGTCTCCGCTTTCTGCCATGGAGCTGCTGGTGGACTGTGGCGTCTGGGGCCCCTGGAGAGAGCCGGATCCAGCTGTGCCATGCAAAAAAAAATACACAAGATGGAGAATATTATACTTCTATGTTCCTTATATTTACATGCAAGTAATACAACATCAGTAGTACCACAAGCCAAATTCTTGGGCAGTTAAAGTCTAATGAAACACTTTTTTTTCTCTTTCATGAATGCAGAGAAATGCTCAGAATCTAATGATATACACACATACTCTCCAATCTGCAATCTGTACAGATCTGTTAACATCTGCAAAAATGTGTTTAAGGGTTTCACGGCCCCTTAAAGTTATACTTTGAGACTTCTGCAACTGGTCATTAAAGATAATGCAATTATTCATAAGTTCAAACAATAATGTTATAACATATCTTTATTCTGCCTTTTTCATATGTGCTTTTAAATAAAGAGTTTAAATTGCACATACAGTATTAATTATAAACCTATGACGGTGATGCTTCAGTAACTGTAGTTTAACTTAAAAATATAAACAAGACAATTATCGTACGTTCCTTACTTCATTTTGGAATAGGTGTTTTGTTGCAGCAGTAAAATTGTTAAAGAGCAGGTCATATGGTATTTTAAAGTGTCCTAATATTGTGTTGGAGTCCCCTACAACAGGTTTAAATGCATCTAAGGTCAGAAAACATTGTAATTTTCTCAGAATATACATTTAATATTAGAGTCATTTGCCAATGATTTCTAAACGATTCGTTCCAAGCAAGTTCGGAGCAAACCCCTCCCCTTCCATAAGCCTACTCTGCTCTGATTGGTCAGCTGGCCAAGCCTGCTGTGATTCGCACAGAGAGGAGTCCTTGAGCAAGTTAGCGAGCGCTACCATTGACAAAGCACCTTTGCATAAAACAATAATATAGTGCTCCAATCCGTTCTTATAATAATGACATAAAATACAAAAACACTTATGCAAGCAAATTGTGCCCACAGCTAAAGTTTAGCTGCTAAACTGTGAACATTTAAAACAATAACATTTAAAGCAATAATGGTTGATACGTTTGCCGAGTGCTAACGTGACTAACTGATGAAACAATACAGTTTGTAAACAAAAATATGTCTACTGTAATGTTTGAAGAACGACTGTACCACACGCTGTATCACAGGCGCACCAGCCTAACTAACTCGCTCGTCTCTCCCGCATTAACCCTATAACTGCCGGTGCAGCAAAATAAACAGCAATTTCACAGTGATTATAAAGTCTGTGTGCTACACTACATTCTTTATTATTAAACGAAGTGATTAGAACAACGTCAGTCTACATTAATCGACACATTCTTAGGAAATAGTGGGTTCACAGCAAATTTTCAGAACTACTTCAGTAAGATTGAGGCAGGTGGGGATTATGCAAATGTGTTACCCAGTGACGTATACCGGTAACAGGCAAAAGATTCGAAAATATGACGACTCGTTTTTGGCGATTCAGAACCGACTCTCTCTTTTGAGAGACAATATCTTCATTTATCATGCACTTTTTTGATTAACAACTTTGCAGAGTGTTTTCATTTAAGGATAGCTACATTATAAACTGCAAAAGAGATATTTTTCAAAAACCCATATGACCTGCTCTTTAAGATCCAAGACGCCAGAACTCACCTGGGGAGGGAGGCTGAATCTTGGCCTGGTTCTTTTTGCTATCTCCAGACATAATGTCAGGTGGTGGGTCTTCTCCACGCTCAATCTTACATTCAAAAGCATACAGACATTGAATGTACTGCTTTTTCAGAGAGCTGGCAGCACTGCTGGAGGTCCCCACGTTCAGATTTGTGGACAGCTCTCTCCATTTTTTGTTCTTATTAACCTGCAATTACAAGGACGCCAAAGGATATAAGCAAACACCCTTGAGAGAAAATGAGTTGAGACCTTCAACATTATCTTAATGTGTATGGACAACTTGCATATACCTGTGTAAGACCTCCAATCTCCTTGACGGACACGTAGAGGCGGAAGAGATCAAGGGGCTTACGTCCCACAGCTGGCAGGTTACTCATGCCCATGGCTTTCTCTTCTATGAAAGCCAAGTAACGGTCTACCCACATCTTTCTTTCTGGCTCTGGGCCTAGCTCATACAACCGAGTGATCTTCTCATTGGTTGTTGTGGAGGAACTTGACTTCTAGGCAGAAGCAGTTTATATAAAAGGAATTACACAGGAAGTGCAACAAAGGATGACTGATTTCTGCTGTAAAGACATTACACTTCTATCTAAATGTTAAGCAAACCTTGGATTTTGATTCTGTCTTGGGCGTCCCCTCAACTTTGTTATTCATTTTCTGGGCTTGGTTAAGTTTCCCATCCATACCAAAGTCCGGACCAGGGGACATGCCTAAGAGAAAAACAGATACATTAACCATGATTGTGACCTGGCAGGTAAAAATGACTTCAGCTAGGTTCTTTTTTTTTTGTACCATACAAAAACAGATTTTTTACTATCTTACCACTAGTGTTGTTAGCCATGTTACCACCCATAGGGTAGGGTGAACCCTGGGTATTCATCATCCCAGGCATGTTGTTCATGGAAGAGCCATATGGAGGTCCTGAGCCCGTCATACCGGGACCAGGAGACATATTGGGGAAACCTGGTAGCCTGTGAGGCAAAACACATTTAACTTCAAACTACCTGACTGGACCCGAAAGAACAATGATAATGCACAACTTCATTTGTATTTCAGTTCTTGTGTACCTGTTGTGTATCGAGTTGGCGGGTCCGTGCTGCATTGTTGCGGCATCCTGTGGCTTTCTGTTGAGGCCTGGAGGTGGGCACATCCCAGTTCCCACTTGAGGGGGCATGCTGCCCACATTAGGACCCATATTGGGACTCATGTTGGGACCCATGTTGGGGCCATAGGGACGTGCAACCATCTGTCCATGAGGCATCCTTCCAGCCGGCATGCCAGCAAACATTGGCCCTCCTCCTTGTCCAGACATAGGGTTCATGGTTCCGCCCATGCCAGGGCCTGGGTAATTGGCATTAGGCATGCCACTGTAACCAGGCTGCCTGGGGTAACCTGAAGAGGAAGACAGGAAGTTGTAATTTGATACAAAGTTTCCACGATTGTGAAAAAAGTACAGTACCGTTTTAAAATACATGCATGCATAGAAATGCAAAACAAACCTACATAATGCTATATTAATAATAGTTATACAATAACAATAAAAGCAGTTAAGTTAATCAAAACAGCATATTGCTTATGCTGCATCTTTCTGAAGAGAGAAATAAAACATTTAATAAGAAATCTTATTCAGTACTACAATTTGGGAATGAAACAAAAAGTTTGAACACCACAACAGTATTAGCAATTAACAATTAGCATTGGCCGAATGTTTTGGGGTATGGTTCCCTCATTGGTGGGCTTGTTAAGAGACTTCCAGGCCCTTGAGTGTTTTAGCAGCATGTAGCGCTGCTGTAACCCACAGCCTCTGTAGCTGCTCAACTGACGTGAGCCATGCTACGTCAACTTCCTTTTTTTCACTGAGACTAAAAATAACCACACTGTGATCCACTGGTCGCACAGAGAGAAAAAGAGGGAGAGTGAGAAGGATTTGGAGGGACAGCAAGAAGAGAAAGATAAAAGCCCAATATCTGCACCTCCACTACAGTAACTTCTCTCAACAAGGGACCCATTTTTTAAATGTACATTTTTCTTAATTGTTCTAAATAAGATGCGTTTTGCATTAAATTATAGTCAGTTGTTACCACTGAGCCACTTACCCTGTGGGCCATATTGACCACCTTGAGGCCCATAGTTTGCCATAGAGTTGTTCTGCTGATAAGGGACCATTCCAGCATGCACCTGGCCTCCAGATGACTGACGAGGAGACAACGCAGAGCTAGACTGTGGAGACCCATAGGGTGCCATCTGAGGGTTTCTCTGCATATATCCTGTGCAGACAACAAGAAGATTAAATGTATTGATACAATAAATAAAAAAAGAGAGCATCAGGATGGAAAACAAGTCCCGTCTTTTTCAAATTATACAGACTGAGTTACCTCTTTCTTGGCCAATGCCAGGTTGATTCATTGAAGGGTGCATCATTCCATCAGACTGTCCACTTGAAGGGCGGGGAGGCATCTGGTTTCCTAAAAATGAGAAATTCAAATAATGTGGTTAAACTAAAATAAAAATCAAATAAAAATTGTAAAAAATAATCACATTCTATAACTTGAAGTAACTGATTTTAAATTAAAATAGTTTAAATTTAAATGTTTCAAGCACTCCACCATCTTCCATTAGTGAGGATAAACTGGTAGTCAAACCACAAACTCATGCCATATGCTCAAAAAAAAAATTGCAATTGGTGCCACAAAATATTCTTAATATTTAATATTTGTAACCATTCCAAACCATCTTCCTGATGACTGTCCCATAAAGTAGCATGAACACATTTAAAAATAATTTAAGGAGTACTAGCCCTACCTGGCATCGTGGCAGGGGACAGTGGCCCAGAACGAGATGCTGAGGCGCTGGCAGGAGAGCCCACCGGGGGAGAAGTGTGAGGGGAGAAGGGTGACTGTGCTGGATTGCTCTGTTCTCCTTGACTGCTGGATACTCCAGATGTGCTGACTCCAGGGCTCAAAGCGCCCTCCGTACCAGTAGGCAGGTCATCGATTGAACCGGATAGGTCCTAAGCAAAGAGAACCGTAGAGAGAAGGTTAGAAAAATCTGATGGAAGTCGTAATGTAGCGGAAGTAGTATCTTGTCCTCTGATTTTTTGGAAAAGAAGAAAAAAAGTAGGGCGGAGACTATCCAATGATGGTTAATTAGATGAATGGCAGATCTGAATGCAAGCTCCGGTTTAAGCAGACTAAATGGTTGGAGTCTGGCAAGTGTCACCAGAGAGAAGTCTCATTATGATGTTATGAATTAAAAAAAAATTTTTTGGAAAAATGAAATGTCACAGTAAGACCAATAACATTCATTTAGAAAATGCATGTTATTTCCATTTCATGCACTGCAAATATGAACGTACTTGGGAAAAAATTATCTGTGTTCCCATAGAAAGACAAAAACACAAATAGAAGAGAAAACGGGAAAAAAAAACAAGCTCAGCTGGTGTTATCATTTGGTATTCCAGCATTTCTGCTAGGGATTTAAAAACGAAGCTGTCAGCTGTCTCAAAGAACTCTTCATGGCATTATTTTTATTTTACTAACATTTTCCTATCCAATCAGCAACATTCAGCTTTCACAGATATTAAAGAATATTTCTAAAAAATAAATCCACATTTGGAATCACAAGTATGTCTTGCAGGCTCTGGATAAGGTTCGTTGCTTAATTGTTAGGCCAAGGCAAGATAGATATTCTGTACTGAAAATAAGGCCAAAAGCTCACTCACAAAAATAAATTA